TATGGCTAATGTAAAGCATTAGTGTTAGTGAATGGCATTCAAAGCACATGTCTATCACTGTCTGTCTGTCTCTCTATCATTGCTTTGCATTCATTTGAGTCTCACTTTTGGCTAACATTTCTCTAATGATACATTCATGAATATGAATTGACTTAAATATACTTACATTTATATAATGTTTGAAATCAAATGAAAGTCACAATTAATTGAATGAAATGAATGCGTGAATTGAGACCACAATCAATGCAAACACGCGTTGAGTACAGAATGCGAGTACAGAGACAGTGATAGACTGTTTCAGTCAATAGACAAACAAACTGTAAGTCAATGCGATTTGAACGCCGGCTCATGGCTTATGTAATGCCACCCAAACATGTATTCAGTAATTTTCATACCATTTATTACCTTAAAATTAATTAAAGTTTATTAAAATTTAAGGAAAAGTTATTGATTTTTTAAATAAAATTAATTTCCCTAAGAATTAATGAGAAAAGCGTGAATTAATTGTTGGACAGGGAGTTAATAGTGTGTAAGTGAGATGCCGGGGCCACACTTTCTGGAAGTTTCGCTCAATGTATGGCTAATGTAAAGCATTAGTGTTAGTGAATGGCATTCAAAGCACATGTCTATCACTGTCTGTCTGTCTCTCTATCATTGCTTTGCATTCATTTGAGTCTCACTTTTGGCTAACATTTCTCTAATAGTCTCTCAGTTTGGCCATCAATTCAACTCATTTACTGTGAACTAAGAAATGGTAATAAACTCTGGAGTGGATGTGTTGAGTGACGATCACTACTAATGTTTTGTATGATCTGTAGGCTGGGATCGCGCGTCGTTTGGTGCCTCTGTTTGATAGGGTATTAGTGGAGCGCTTTGTGGCCGAAACCCGCAGCAAAGGCGGGATTATGATCCCCGAGAAGGCTGTCGGCAAAGTGCAATCGGCGACCGTCGTGGCCGTGGGTCCCGGTGCTCGCAACGAGAAGGGAGAGCTGTTGCCCACTAGTGTCCAGGCGGGAGACAAAGTGCTTCTTCCCGAATACGGCGGTACTAAAGTCGAGATCGACGACAAGGAGTACTTCCTCTTCAGGGACACTGACATACTCGGGAAGTGGCAAAACTAACTGTCCCGCACATTCGCACCTGAATTAGATTTATTACAATTTAGTGTCCATTATATTCTCATCAATTGATTAGTCTTTAAAGTAATTTACAAATAAAATCGTGTTTTGTTTTAATTTAGTTTGGATTGATTGGAGATTACTATGATTTTGTCATAACTTTTATATTTGATATAATAATTAAATTTAGTATTTCTTTAAATAAATATACTGTTTATTGAAATATTTGTCATTTTTATTATATTTTTACATTTGTTTTAACAGTAAAATTGGGACACATTTGGTATAATCTATGCCTTAAATAACAAATAGATTTAAATAATAAAATAAATTTATGTTTAAATTGAAAATCACAAGTTATCGATTAATTTGCGACTAAATAACAATTTAATAAACTCATAAAATGAGTTAAAACTAAAACTAATAAAAGTTATGTTTTATGAGTTAAGGGGTTAGACATCGGGGGAAGACTTTGTTTGCCATACAATTGTTCCGCTCTCTTGAGAAACGCATTGACAGTCTTGCGGACCATTTCGTCGAAGAAGACGTGAACCAATTGCGAGTGAATTAAAGATCTGAACTCAAAATCGGGGGAAGACTTTGTTTGCCATACAATTGTTCCGCTCTCTTGAGAAACGCATTGACAGTCTTGCGGACCATTTCGTCGAAGAAGACGTGAACCAATTGCGAGTGAATTAAAGATCTGAACTCAAACTCAACACTGAAATCCAAGCAACAGCTCTGCTTATTGCGAGGCAAGCCATCGCTGAACCGCCAATTGGTCTCGAGATACCTGAAGAGCTTTCCGTCGATGCATTTGGCGGTCACTGAATGAGGTCTCGAGAGAAGCACTCTTGAGGTGTATTTCTCCCAAATAAGTGGCGGAATCCCGATCTCGAGCTCAGCGGACAGGTATGTGTTGTGGCGCTCAATCACTTGGGACTTAACACACGCGGGGACGAAGAGATGATAGTCTTCCACACGAGACACCACTTCATACAACTGTTCCTTTGAATACCTGTCCATCAGTTGACAGTCCATTAAACTGCAATCAATTGACCGCTTAATACAAACCCCAAAATCCGTCGCTCATTATATCTCTTGAGTTTGGATGCAGTGGTCTGTCCTTTGAATGGTTTGAACGGCAATCCGAAGAGTTTGCGGACCAATTGCCGAGGGTTTGTGTCAATGGTTTGCTTTGATTTCGTTGTAAACATTGAATAGTATTTGCAATGAGTTATCAACGGTTGGCCTCTCAATGAGTGGACAACCAATTGATGGGTTGAATGCATGGTATATGATATGCAGATGATGTCCAAGTGATGTCCAAGTGATGTCCAAGTGATGGCTAATAGCAGTGTCTGTCACTGACTGTCAGTCACATGAATGACACACAAACTGCTCGTAACGTCNTTCACTCTCTGTCTGTGAACTCGATTCTGTGAACATTGTGTCGATTCTGTTCACTATTATAGCCATTCATATCATATTAATCATTGTTTTATTCATTGATTTGCATTTTATTTGAAATGTCAAATGCATTTATTATCATTATATTAGCAAATATGTCAAACATTACAACATGTGTGTGTATTTATAAAAGTATTATCATAAGGTATGATTCATACCAGATACAGAATTGTATCAGAATTATTTTATGTTACTAGTTTAAAAGTTAAATCATATTATTAAAAATGAGGCATTATTAAAATAATAAAAATACATTTACATAATATGCAGCTTTTAAATCAAATAAAAATCATTTCCTAATTAGTAAAACAATAGCCAATAGTTGTATGAACTATAATATAGTAATTTATTTCAATTCACATGTTTTATTCTGTAAGCTCTCAAGAATTTAGGCATCGACTAAAAAGTAGAGTGATATATCATTTCAACTAATATTTTATTTTTAAACTTCTCTCTCAATGAATGCCAACTTTTTTCCTTCAAAATATTTTCGCATTCATTTATAATTTGTTTTGTCATTATTGTTTAAATTTAATATTATTTATAAGTACTAGCGTTATAACTTGTATTTCAATATCAGTGTAGTCTTTTTAATTGTAATTTTTCCCGGAAATAATGAAAAAAATCAGTCAAATTTAATGTTTACCACTTTCCTAAATAAAATACTTAATGAGATTATTAATAAAACCACATGTCCTTGTTTAAAACAATGTCCTTTAATCCAATGAATATGTTTGACATCCAATTCATTTGAAATATTTGTTTATTTCTTAATTTAATGTTTTTAACGACCGACCAAAGAGTGAAATTACATCAGATTTATTTAAATTTACAGAATTTCTAATCAAACCAATGAGTTATTGCTTCAAAAGAATGTGTAAAATAAATCTAATAAATACTTAAAATCAATTACACATTCAGTTAACGCCATTAAAACAGTATATTATGAGTCAGTAATGACTTATAGATAAAACCGAATCCGAGATTCATATTCAGTGATGATGTGCTAAAACCTAATCACAATCAATGTCCGAATATAACACAATCTATTCAAACATCACACGAGACCTGAATTTAATTAATTTACTAAAAGTTATGACAAAAGACACGAAAAGTTAAATTTAAAGTCAGTCTTAATAGATATCATTTAAATAATAATACAATATGAGTGCAACAATTATGTGGCGCCAACTAATTTCTGAAGTCCTTCAGTTGTCATTGATTTGGGTCTCTCGAGGGGTAGACCCAGTGCTCGATCCCATATGAGCGACGACATCACACCCAACGCTCGCGACACTCCGAACAGCACCGTATAGTAACTCATTTCCTTCATTCCGAAGTACTATTCACACGAATCGTAAGCAAGTGATTAGTAATCATCTCTCTCTACAGGTATGTCACCATTCAATGGACTCACTTGTAATATGACGCCAGAGTGAGCGTCAACATTAGGCCAGGGATTCTTGACTTTTCCCAATTCTAAAAGTATGGGCGGAACCACTTTGTAGATCTGGGACACCAGTTTGAACAGTGGATAGTCCGGCAAATGTTTCAATGAGAACTCTCTTTGTACGATATAACGCGGGTCTGTCTTACGCAACACCGCGTGACCATAACCCGGCACAACCTGTCGCAACATATTCATCATTACAGTAATCCATTGCTCTATTGTAATAGCAATCGCATACCTGTCCTGATTTCAAAGTTTTCCAAACAAATTCCTTGAGCTTATCGTCGGACACCTCTCCTCCCAATTCCTTCTGCAGTTTCGTCAACCAAATCAACACTTCCTGATTGGCTAACCCAAATCGCATACCTGTCCTGATTTCAAAGTTTTCCAAACAAATTCCTTGAGCTTATCGTCGGACACCTCTCCTCCCAATTCCTTCTGCAGTTTCGTCAACCAAATCAACACTTCCTGATTGGCTAACCCGTGCAGAGGACCCGCCAAACCATTCATACCGGCAGCAAATGACAGATAAGGATCGGAGAGTGCACTGCCAACCAAATGAGTGGCGTGTGCGCTCACATTACCGCCCTCATGATCACTGTCCACAACACGTGACAACAGTAAGAATTTATGCCAATTATCGGCAAACCATTAGACAAACATACCTATGAATTGCGAGATAGAGTCGTATAAGTTCAGTGAATTTGGGGTCATTGTAGCCCAACATTGACGTGAAGTTAGCCGACCAGTCCTTATTCGTATCGATGGCACCGATCGACGATCCGTCGCGGTATAGGTTGCGATAAATAGTGGCCGCAATTGTCGGCAATTTGGCGATCAATCGCAGGGAGTCGTCAAACGTGTGCTCCCAATATATGGCTTTATTCACGCCTTCGTTATAGGCCTTTGCAAACAGGGATTCCGTATTACAGGCGGTGATGGCGGCACTGAACTGAGACATTGGGTGCAGATTCGATGGGAAGTTGTTGAGCATCGTGACCACGTGGGAGGGTAGGTCTGCGTGTTCAGCCAACGTCTTGGACACTGCCTTCACCTGTTCAGCCGATGGCACCTCTCCTGTCAATAACAACCAATACAAGCCCTCCGGAAGGGGTTCATCACCGCCAGCAGCCTTCGGAAGAGATTTACGGATTTGAGGGATAGAATAGCCTCTGAAAGCAATGCCTTCATCGGGATCTAAGTAAGAGGTTTCGGTGACCAATGACTTTAATCCTCTCATTCCTCCGTAGACCTGATCCACAGTTATCTCTCCAATCACTTTAGGCCCGTAAGCGCTGCGGAACTCTTTCACTCGCTTCTGGTGTTCGACAATCTTTTTGGCCAAAACTCCCTTCAAGTCCTGGAAAGACATTAAAAGACATTTCATTAACCATTTGTTTGACTACTCATTGAACTTACGGTGGAGTCGCCGGATATGTGTCTCACGGGAATGGTAGCCAATCCGCCGTATCCTTCGACCAGAACCCGATCCATGAGAGGCACGAATCGGCGCCCGATATGCGACACTGTATTGATCTGAACGTATCATTCAGTTATATATTACAACACTTTTCACAATCATTTCACAATCATTATACCATTTCTTTATTTTTTATTGAATGTAAAAAACAAAACTTTCGTCAAAAACCAGTTAAGAGTTGTCTTTCAGGAAAAGTTCTGTAATTGAAGCAAAAAATTGTGAATTAATTATATATTTTTTATAACTTAAAATGAAATCTATATTCATATATAACTGTAAAGAAATGCATAGAATTGTTGTAATAGACAAATGCAGTCAATAATTAATTCAATTATTAGGCAAACATTTGCCGGTAATATCTATTAATATATTGAATGAATGAATGCAATATTAGTTTGAATGCGAGAATACAGTAATTGTATTAAATGCTATAATAACTACAGTATTCATATATTAAGCACACATTTACCGGTAATAACCTACAAATCAAAGGTATTTGTAGTGATAATGAGATACAGTATAAGAGAAGCGAATGAATGGCAATGAATGCAAACAATTGATTCAATTCTTACCAAATGGCTGATGGATAGCAAACCCAGTAATTGATTGTTGTGTGAATTAGTGGTGAGGTATTGGTGTTACAGGTGTGTGGTGTCTAACAGTGTCTAAAAGTGTCTAATAGTGTATAATAGCGTCTAATAGCGTGTATTAGTATATCTAATGATTGTATAATAGATTGAAAGTCACTATAAGTCTCACCACTTGTGATGTGAAAAGTGTTCAAATGTATGGTTCGAGCGAATCGTCGATTCAGTCATTCAGTCCACTCTCAGCACTGCATTCACTGCTCAGCACTCAGTCCACCGCTAGTGATGTCCACACATTAGTTGCGTTCAATGCATACAACTGTATGCCAGTTGTCGTCACTTACGCTCATCACTAGTGCTCTCGAGATGTGCTACTCATTCATAAACTACATAACACTCTAACCTTGGATTACATTCACCGCTATAATCACTGATTCAATTGAAAAGTCACTTCATTTCAAACTAAATGTGGTTTTAATTGCGAAATCAATAGTAAATGCACTTTCATTACTGTCATATAAAACAATTATTTGAATAACTGTTATACAAATGCATTACTTGAGTATATTTTATATTTGTATGGTTTAATTGAATGCATGAATTTTGACTTTTAATGTAGACTGCTACAAATATATAGATAACCAAATTCTTATACAGAATATACTGTAAATAGACTATAACTACAATACTAATAAATTATTACTAAGTTAAAAGTTAGTTATCTAAAATTAAAAGTTATATAATAAACGATTACATACCATTTGTTAAGTAACATCAGTTATAGCGATAAACTCAAGTGCATTGAAAGCAATAGTTATTGAGTGAGAATAATATGTGAATAATTGGTTGAATTGAAGGAATATTAATATAATGTTTGAAACCATGTTTCTCAGCGTTATCTTCAATACACTTATCTTCCGTCTCATTTGGATTCATTAAATGAAAGAGTGATCAGTCATGTGATCGGAGCACCGGCTCCTCAAACAACTCTTAATTATGGAATATGTCATTAAATTCTCTGATAGTTAGTTCAGTTTGAAGTTAGATTTTGAGAATCACATGAATTAAAATTATTTTTGGCTGAAAACTAATATAAATTTAGTGCACTGTATATCACTAAACACATTATAGGATTAAATAAAAAACATTAAAAATTAATTTTATAATTTAATTAAAATTTTTAGACTTTATTAAAATAGTGAAACTTCACTCAACTGTTATAAGATTACATTTAATCTCTTAAAACATTTTGACTTTGCTTAAAATTTCTTAAAAGTACTGTATACAGTATACTATACAGTACACAAATAAATATTCATAATCATAAATAATAAATATCGTAAATATCACAAAACTATTAAAACAAGTGTGATACTGTGAACATTTCTATAAATATTACATTTGAGTTACGATAGACTTTGATTTACTGTATAGTGTACGGTATTCAAATTTACTGTACTGTACTTGATCATGTACTTCAACAAATTCTAAATTTTAATAAAATTTTAATTTAGTATTCATTTATTAACTTAGGTTTAATCATAAAGTTTTGTGCAAGTGATTGATTTGATAAAATAAAGCATTTAATCATTAAATAGTGAAATATTAAATTTTAAAAACTTAATCATTTTATCGTAGTAAGTTTTATTGAGAAATCCATAATCAAAACCCATGTATTATATATGAATAGTAATTTATGATTAAAGATATTATATTCAGTTACAGTGTATATCATTATAATGTTTTTAATAATAATTTAATTTAAAATCATAATAAATAAATAATAAAATAGTGTTTAAGTTAACATAAATTGTTAAAACTACCGTAAAATATATAAATATATTGTGAAAATATTCAGTCAATTGTAAGCACCGGTGTATACAGACTCAAGTGTATATAAAGTTTACTTATAAAATCTAAGTTCAGATTCGACACAATCATTAAACAAATCCTTAACATTCACGGATTCATCCTTTGGATTGAAGTGATTAAGCATTTGTTCCACTTCTTCGATGCAATCCCTTTCCAATCGATTCAATGTTTGGCGCAACTCTTCGCCCTCACTATTAGTTTGAGTGAGTTTTGGATAAAAGTTTTGATGCATTTTATAGAGTGTATGCCTTCTATCGACTTGCCGTTGAAAGCGAGGGATAGTCTTGACGGGATCGTCAGGTATTGTCGGGGAGACTATGT